TCTCTCTCTCTCTCTCTCTCTCTCTCTCTCTCTCTCTCTCTCTCTTTCTCTCTCCTTTATATTATGAGAATATTTATGTTCTCGTTTTTCAACATAATCGCTTAAATAATCTAAATAAAATATAGCAATAAATAAAATATAGCAATAAATATTTTCACAGGCCTGTTAAAAGAATCATCTGTTTCGCCGTTCGATATGATCAAATTGCAACAGCTCGATGGAGAACGAATGGCTTTGTTCCCAAATTTGGATTACAAGCAGCTTTATAATGCGTTGACGCAGATGATCGACGTTACACCGTTGATCCATGTTGGCTTGCCAGGTTTGTTTTCTTCATCTTTCGACATTATTAAACATGTTATTACATAAAATGGAAAATTAGAAGTGTTACTTATACTTGACTCTAATAAAGTTTAAAAAAAATTTAATTACTTTTTTTAACAATTATCGAGAAAATAGCATGTTATAAAACTTAATTTTACATATCTTCTTTATATGGTATAAATAAAAATATATATTTTAATGTTATTTTCAATAATATGGATTACAATTTGCTTATAAAGTAAATTTTCTCTCGGAATATTCTTGTCAAGGATCATTAATTCTATGCATATAATAAATATAATAAATATAATTTATAATAAATATAATTTATTTTTTAGCATTCGGGAAAGCCTTGCTACAATGTCTAGCGTGCATGCTGTTATTCTTGGATCACGATCTAATCGACAATTTATCGTATTTAACTGCCAGTACGATATCAGTACTTCCCGTGGAGCTGCATGAAGAAATTGTCAATTATCTCTGTTTTTACATTTTACCGTTTGCCATCAGTAAGTTTTTCCATTACATTTATATTTGTATCAGTATTATTCGAACTTGTGTATATATCATGATAAGCACACATTCTCGTCTTTCTAAGAGAGAATAACAGCTGCCGGGAGGGAATGTGAGTGTGGAAAGAAAATATTAGTATTTTACCGATACGAGCTTTTCCGTTAGGTGAAAAATTGGCTTGCCGACTAAAAAAAACCAATTGATAAAGCGTAGAATAGTGCGCATTTTATTAATAATTAATTTAAACATAAGCTTTAATTATCTATATGTACAGATACATGTATAAGCAGATTTAATAATTTTATTTTTATGAGATGACGTTATCCAGATTAGCTTGCAGTTACATTTACATTATTATTAAGATTTTATTATTATTGTAGTACTTGAAAGCTAATGGTAGAAGAACAAAAAATTTTTAAAGATTTTTATTACAAACTTTAACTTTCAGCAAGGAAACCTGAAATTGGAGACGAAAGTGCCGCTAGTCAATCAGTGGCCGCTGTTATAATGATGGTGTTTCAGTATTCCAATAATCCAGGTATCATATATAATATAACGTATGTCATAGGAAAAAGTATAAAATTAATACAATTTAATTCAAAATTATATTAAATAAGATGATTTGTGCTAGAACTTTTATACGCTTTTCTAAAATCTTGTATTATTATGAAAGTGTGTATATACTCGAGTAGGGCCCTCCTCAAGTCCACGTATGGCTTGCTCTACTTCAGCCTTAATAGGTCTCTAATGCTATATGTAATACCACGTATCAAATAGCTCTGATCAAGGAGTATAGGGTATGCCCTAGTTGAGAATTTCTCACTTGAGCATGATCAGGAAGTGATAAAATATGCCTTAGTCTTTCTCTATTGATTAGAGACCGATCAAGCAACGTACGTAGGATTCGTATGTGCCGCGGCGATCACGGCGTTGGAGCGAGTAGCAGTTATAGAAAGAGAAGCAGGTAGAAGCATACGACGCGAACAAACCTATAATCTTCCAAATAAGTTAAAATTGATTAAAATCTCGAAATTATGGGAATTCTTTTAAAAATTAAAAGTTCTATTTTTACATATCTATACAATTCTACATATCTTAATTAATACGTGAAAGATCTCTCTCGATTTTAGGATTGTTCTATAAATTCTGTTGTTAAAAAATAATTTTACTCTGTGTGAAAAAAATCAAAAATATGCATTACGCCTCTTCTTTTTGTGTAAGGAAACTTTATTAGAATTATATAATTATTAGAGATGTGTTAGAACTTTCACAATTAGCTTTAACAACGCTTTCAACTTTATCCTCGATAAATACATTGTTTAGTTCTATAAACTCAGACGTGAATGAATGTTTAATATTTTCATCTGTACTTTTCTGTTTCTTTCTAAATTATTCTCATTCTCCTTTCCAGCTCTTAGAGCATTTTCATTTATTGTACAATAGTCCTAATGTTCATTTATAAAATCTCTTGTTCTGCTAACTTCGACAGAATTGCTAAAAAGGCATCATTTATAAAAAAAAATAGTAAACATTTAGTTTTTGTATACAGAGTGTCCTATTTTATATTTGATATTTTATATATGGTAATCAAATATTTGGAAATCACAAAGTTTTAGAAAAAAATATTTCACAAACGTTTTATGACTCCAAGAAAACATGAGACTTTGGATGAAGTTATACAGAAGAAGAGATTGAATTTTTTTTGAACATTAATTCACGTCTGAGTCAACAAAACTAAACAACATATTTATCGAGAATGAAATTGAAAACATTGTTGAAGATAATTATAAAAACCCTAACGATGAAGTTATTAATTACTGTGAAATATAAATAATCTCGATCAACGTCTATCAAGTGACAATGAAAAATTTAACGAAATTATGCAACTTCGAGAGTATGGATAATAAAGATCAGTGTAAGATCACTTTAAATTTTTTAAGTGGAACTCTTTATATTTTTTATTGCATTCTTATAGCTTATCTCAAGAATTTTTCAAAATATATAATAAAATATTTTTTTAGTTATAAGGCTTAAAAGTTACAATATCGCCACAAAATTTTTGTTGTGACTGAAATATTTTTCTGTAAGACTCCGCGATTTTTCGAATATTTGACTGTCAAATATAAAATGGAATACTCTATATATTCAAATAATTCTTTTTTCTTACGTATGTATGAATAGGTATCTGTATAATGAATTCTCAAGAATAAATATGTAAAAAAATATAGGGAAGAGTTGCCGAATGCTTACTGGTCACCTAAATCGTACCTCATCAATATTTTATATTATTACTTAATATAGGCAACAATTAGTAACAATAATATAAATTATATGAATGAGAATTACATAATATAAATTACATTGATGTAATGGGAGAGTAATAGAAGCATAAAAGAAACTTTGTCTTCTAGAAGACAAAAATTGGGACAATGAAATGTTAAAAAAGCATTTTACGCTTCTTTTATATTTTGATGTTTTAATTCCGTTTAATAGTAATAAAAAAATAGATTAAGTGGAACGCATTCAGTAATTCTCTCTTATTTGTACAATAAAGTATATCAATAAAAGAGCTGACATTTTCATTTTTATTTAAATTTTTAATATCAACGTTTTCATTGATATTAATTAGATCAAAAATTACATTTTCACTGCATACTTGCAATATTAAGGAATTCCTTCGCATTAATTCTGCGACGAACTTTCCGATTTCTCTCACTCTACATCGTGTTAAGTCTTGCTTTCTCTTTTTGCTACTTTCCATGAGAAATGAAAAAATGAACCTAAACCGAAGATGAATGAACCTGAAGAATGAATCTGAATCGAGAATGAACCTAACCTGGCCTTATAATTTATTGATTAATTTTTTGATAAAGAAAATAACAAAACAGAGCACATAAGATGTATTTTAGTTTGATCTGGCGTAAATCCGATTTTCGTTTTTAGAAGCTATTAAGGCATTCCTTAGTAAGACCTAAGTCAGATTTTTCTTAGTAGAGCATATCTGCGTGTTCCCTGCTCAGGCACAAGTCAGTACATCTTAATAGAGCGCAATTCAGAAATTACTTAGTAGGGCATAAATCAGACATTCTTTAATAGGGCATGCCTGCGCGTTCTCTGCTCAGGCGCAAGTTGACATACCTTAATATGGTGTAATTCAGGTATTATTTTTAGTAAGGCATAAGTCAAGCATTCCCTAATAAGGTATGTCTGCGCGTTTCCTGCTCAGGCGTAAGTCGGGCATACGTTGATAAGGCGCAATTCAGATATTGCTTAGTAGGGCACAAGTCAGGCATATCTTTGTAGGGCGTGCCTATTCATTTCCCGGTGAGATCTAAGTCGAGTATATTTTGAATTCTTCTTTATCAAGTCTATATCAGGGATTCCTGAATAGGGCATACCGCAATGCTTTCTGTTCAGAGCCACATACGTCAGATTAACCGAATCGTATTTTTTACTCGGGTACGTGTATTCATGCGAATACAAATGTTAAATTTGTAGATGTATGCGTCGAAATAGAATAAAATTACGAAAGAGAACATTTTCTCTTTTCAGCGCATCATTGTCAATTGCTGGAGTGTTTAATGGCTCTAAAGCCAGGAGTAGTGAAAGACATTCTTTGCGTTATCGCTTACGGCACTGCATCAGCAAGAGCATCAGCTGCAAAATTACTGTTTTACTACTGGCCTTCATTTAATCCAAATTTATTCGATCGCCGTGCAGTGTTAGTAAAATTTGCTAGTAGGTATTAAACCTAAAATTATAATAATTATATAAGAAAAATATAAAATGCACTCTGGTGAAAAAATTTCGCTGAAATTATTCCACGTTTTGGAATATTTCAGGGAAATTGTTGAAAATTTGTTGAAATTTCTCTGAAAGTAAATTTTTCAAGTTAACATACTAAAAAATCGCTGAAATTAAACTGAAATTTCTCTGAAATTTTTGGTGGAATTTCTCTGAAATTTTGCTGAAAAGTGTTCCAAAACGTGAAATGATTTCACGAAATTGAAATTTTTCTATCAAAGCATTATGTATTGCAGAATCACCATATTAAAGCTTATTCTTTGATACAAATCAAGTTGTTAAATTTTATTTTATTAAGCTTTGTGACATGTGTTTTGCGTTAACGGTCAGTCCATTGTATACGAAAAATATAAATATATTATACATTAAATATATTAATATATGTTTAATATTAGGCAAGAGATAATAAATAAATTCCAAGAATCATACAACAATCTATGTCATATAAAACTGCGTTATCTGCGTTCCAGATGATTTCACCCCATTCGTATGTCAACGAGATAGCTGTCCGAATGCCGGCAATGCGGAAGCTGCAAAAGTCTGTTACAATCATGACATTTCCATCACATACGCTGTTGAATCTCCGCCTCCTCTTTATCTCTGCATCGAATGCGCGAATGAGATTCATCGAGAACATCCAAATCAAATGTTTTACGACATTTTGCATCCAATGCAACAGGTGTCCATGGTTTGCGAAAACAAGGTGAACATGTTAACTTTGAGAGAATTCAAATTTGTTGTACATAATACACAGTGTCGCTCAAATATTTAAAATTTTACTAATATTTATATTCCGTTTTTGATCAGAACTGTAGAGGGAAGGATAAATCAGCTATCAGTGTTTGCTTTTCGACAGAATGCGCAAGTTACAATGGAAATCATCCTATACGATATTGTCAACAATGTCATAGTATTCGTCATAACAATCGTCGTGGCGGTGATCACGTTTATCACATGGCGCTTCCGCACATTTCGCAGCTGGAGCCGCAAGCGCAAACTTATATGGTTCAAGCGATTGTCAGGCAAGCTGTAACCGTAATCATAAGTGATAATGCAAGCTCAGCTAGACATGGTATTTTTGTTTTACAGTTTGCTCAGAGAAGCTGAACCGATAAGTATCGATAGCAATCGGGACACGACAGATATAAATGCTAGTACTAGCAATAAGGGTGGCATAGGATTCGTAGGAAGTAGCAGTGGCGCAAGTAGCGGTGCTGGCGGTATCGGGAGTACGTTCGGTCATTGCGACCCTACGAGCTTAGAGGAACGACAGCTCCTCGGCAGATATGGCGTATGGCTGCTAGTGGGACTTTGTACCCCTAACGAAGATACCCCGGTTGAAATACTGGGCCGTTTATTATCAATGTTATTTCATTGGTTTCATGTCACTGCCTACTGTTTCGATGGTATTGAAAAAAGACTTATACACCTTATCTTTTCTGTTGGTAATTTAACACTTTGCATATATACACTTTACTCAAGTAGACGTAGAGAGCCAGACGTAGGTAGTAGCGTATGTCGGCTAAATATGTTGCCAAGATGTACAAGATGTAAGCATCCTCTGTATACACACTGTACATGTAAAATATATGTTGTTAGCCTTCATGTTTGTCTCAAGAAAAACATTATGTCGATGTTTGAATATATTTGTTTCTGAAATTATAAACCAAAATACACCTGAAATATTTAGCCGAATTTAATATATTCCGTCGTATGAATTAAACAAAAATATTCGAGATTTCATCATTGATAAAAATTGCATGCATGTATCAAAGATATCAGCACACAACTCGACACATATTTAAAATTTGCACTTAAATGTCGAATACTTTGAAAAATGTAGCCTCGCATTATTGCATGCCAAAGTTCGGGATAACAATAAATGTCAAATCTGTTCATGTGTTCCAATCGTGTTATATGTCGTTAGATTGATAGTTTAACGATCAATCATAATAGCATTCCTATATCAATTTTAATACTTTTGTCTTTTTATAATCAATTTCTCAATCATTTCAGGGCAGGCAGAAAGCGCGCTTGAAAAGTTAAAAACAGAGTACGTTTGCGACTGGCTCTCAGAAGTTATGAAAACGCACTATGAAGTATTCATTTCCTGTCTTTTACCACATCCTGCGGACTACGTCAGGGTCGGAGGTCATTGGTAAAGCAGAGATTTGCATTTTTTAATAAAATCTTTACATAATATATATAATTTTGATTATATATACGAAATTTACGTAAATATTACAATGAACGACATTATTGTAATATTTACGCTTGCGATTAAATCACGTTGATAAAATTAATATTAGTTATTGTTCTGCCAAAAGGGAAACCTTGGCTTCTCGGACATCGCATTTAAAAGACGGTTTGCATCGGCTGTTTTGTCTGGTACCGTACGAAGTGATAACGCCTGACGTATGGGATTACGTGATGCCGCATTGGATGGAAGCAGTGGTAAATGACGTTCCAGAAAATGAACTTCAGGAGTTAAAGATAATATTGAGGTATTCGTTTTATTTCGAGAAAATCTTTACATATTTGGAATTTTCAATTTACACGAAAAATATTTATCATTTTATGTTGCAGCAAAATTTTGGACCGGGACATGAATTCTTTAGGATTTGACATAAAGAAAATGTATAACTTTATAGCAAAACGGTTCGTCAATACGAGCGCTAAAGTACAAGAACAGGCTCTTCACTGGTTGCAAACACTTACTATGCTGGAAATAACATTACCCTTGGATCAACTATTTTCAATATTTAGCAACGGAGTAGCTGTTATGCAATCAATGAGCTTGGCAGAGTCAGAATTAAAGCCAAGCAAGTCTACGAAAGAAGATGATGTAAACATTACATGTATGTAATTATAATTATTATCTGTACTAGTTATCACTGTACCTTAATCTTTTGCCGAAAGAATTGTTAGCTTTATAAAAATTAATTTTATTCTTAATTAAGAAGGCTCTACTCATTTATTATTTAGAATTTATTATTTAGAATTTTATTATTTAGAATTTTAAATTCTATTAATTAAATTTGTTGTATAATTTTAATTCTCGACCCACTACATCGGTCGTTTCGAAGAGAAAATTAATATAATTTTTTTGGACAAAAATATTGTTACTATGAAGTTTCAAATTGTGTAGGTAAAAAAAACTTTGAATTTCTTCTCAATCGTCATAAGAGATTGCATTCTGTACTTCAAACATGACGCTTTAGAACTTAATATATGTTGAAGATTAGACATGGTTTTTAACATGTTTAGGTCCCATAGTGGAAAATGATTCGGGGAAATCGACACCACTTTCCGATGATGTAGTGCCAACACCAAGACATATAGAATTTTTGACGAATGCGGAACTTAATTTATCTTGTTGTATTCTCATGCTTGATATATTATTGAAACAAGTAAGATATAAATCTTTAAAAGAGTTATCTATATATTAATTATGTATAAAATCTTTTTTCATTCACTTTTATGTAACGAAAATTTAAAAATTTGATTTTGGAAGATGGAACTTCAAAATGTAGACAAGCATACTGGAATTAATACACGAGTTTGTCGAGATGCTTGCCGTTTAATGAAATCCATAATTGCATCCAATTGGAACAACTCTCACGTCTGCGATAATACTTCAGACATCGAATGTTCTTATTGTGAGTCAAGGGTAATCTGGCACCAACTATGTCTACAATTGATTACTTACATGGCATCAGAAAATCCGGCATATCCTCCCGACGTTAGTTGACTTTATAATTTTAATTTAATTGATAATTATTATACAATATGATTATAATAAAATTATAATAAAATAAATATAAATAATAACTTATTTTTTTCTTATTTATAGAATGTATTTTTTATTTATAGAATGTTTTAATTACATGTGAAATAGAAAAGAAAACTAACAAGTTTTTATCCTTTTCAGACAATTGTGGATGAAAATGCGGACGATAATGCTCGTAAAAGTTCCCCAGAAACAACAAAGAAGGGTGATTCGAAACCGGATGTGGTCATCAACATGCCCATACCAGAAATGCATTCTGTCGGCGGAGTCTTAGTTCATATGCCACACGTACGTCTCTTAATAAATAAACTCTAAAATGGCAAATCAATCTTTCGATCTCAGACGTTAATAACATATTTGATGTTTGTCTCATTGACAATTAAATTTCCGTGATTTTATTGAAAAAAGAAAAAGGATACGAAAAGAAATTTATTCTTCAATGAGATAAACATCACCAAAAAAATGTTATTTCTAATATGTCACTGCGTATTACACAATCTTCCATTAATAAAGCAGCATGCTACTTAAAACTGTCTTAACTGTGTATATGTGTCCGTATGCGCTTCTCTCTCTCTGTCTCTTCTTCTACGACACGGCCTGATCACAAAGACACGGTAGGCTAATCTATGTTACCGGAATAGCTATTTTGATCGTTTATGTCAGTTCTTCGAACAGATTATGACAGCGACAGTAGAGACAGTTTCGGAACAGCTGGACCTCGCAGCTATCATGCCAACGGAGAAGATTATGTCCGCCGTTGCGAGAACGGTTACACTGTCAGAAACAGACGTCGGTGAGCCAATATTCTATGTATTCTATCATAATTTTTCAATAATTATATTATATTTAATTATAATATTATATAAATTCACATATATACATATGTATACATTTTCAGCTACCGCAACAGTGAGCGTGGCAAAACCACATCTGATAGGTGAAAACGATGAACCCGTGAGTTTAAGTCCAGAAGCTGATTCGGATGACTTTTGGCATACCTCCGTAGGAAAGTTTCGTTTTACGATAGAAGAATTACCAGAACAACTTCAATATATTCATAAATTACTAAAGGTACTAATATTATGACTGTATTACAACTGTATTACAGCGGCCTACAATGCATGTGCAATATGCACAGAATTACGATTATTAATTTATTTAATAATTACGCGCTGACTCTAACTATTTAAGTAATCAGTTCGCAAAAAATCATCACTTATAATTTTATAATTATAAGAATAAATTTTACAATTGTCAAAACTATTTAATTAAAATGATTAAAAATTACTTTCGAAAAATTTCATGCAGGAAATAATGACCATCGACAAACCGGACATTCTTTACTACATGCTGCAGTGCTTAAATGTAATGTGCTTGTATGGTGACGCGTTTAATACTGCAGTGAAGGATCATCAAGGATTCTTTATATGGTGCCAAGAGAATTTATTAATAAAAAAGTATGTATTAGCTACACTTGTTAAAGTATTTTTTACAGAGATGATTAGAACTTGTGTAGTTTCAATTTTCTCAATCATTTATTATCCTTTACAGTTTATGGGAACTCTTAAACGCAGAACATTCGCATATAGCACAAGTGACCGTTCCGTTATTATTGCATTGTGTAACATTACCCTGCGGCACCGACACTTTCTGGCGGCTGGTACAAGAAGAATTTCACAATTCTGATTGGCGCGTTAGATTCGTCGCGGGTAATCACATATAATATGAATAAGTTGATTACTTGATTTATTATTATTCTAATTGGATCTTTCTCAGATCTTTTTAGCATAGTGTATTTTAGATTTCTTTATTTTATATTCCTTTATCTATTAATTTATTTTATTTTTTAATTTCTGCATTTTTCATTTTCTAATTAATTAAAATTTTTTTAAATTGATATTCTATTATATTTCAGTCGAACGCGTTACATTAATTGCAAGATTTATGGATTCAACGCCATTGCGGAACATATTAAGTCTTCAAGCTGCATTAGCAAATGCGTTCTGTTATTTAATAACAAGTATGGATGACAATAATGTGTATGTTGCGCAACGTGCTACCTTGTATCTTGGTACTATTCACGATACAGCAATTAGGGTAAATTTTATCAAGTTCTTAAAACTTCACCTATCTGAAATTAAGTTTTTAAAGAAAACATCTATCATGTTTTCTCAATATTAGAGTATTTATTTATTATTTACTATCATTATATGTATAATTTCTGGGTTTTGATAAAAAAAATAATTTTTCATGTTCAAACTATTATTTATAATTTTATTTCAGTCGTTAATTTTATGCCTGGAAACACAATTTGATTCCGTAATAGTAGACCGGCCAATGGTATTGCAATCGCTTTATCAGCTACACAATAGTCTTAGCGATCGACGTATCTTAACGTGGGAATTTTTCTTGAATCGATTTGATACGTTATTTCTCGAGGCTCAAATCAACTTGGAGAAGTCGGGGGATGTGACTTATTTGCGCGGTTAGTATCATCCTATTAATGTTTCAGGGAAAAACATTATGACATTTTACGCTATGTATTACATTTAAAAAATTGTATTGCTTGAGTAAATATATTGACGTTCTGAGTAAGCTTTTCTGTCATAGATTTAAAAAATACGGATATGAATAGCGAAATATTTATGAAGAAATTACATCGCGCACATGAAGCGTTATCTCAGTCTGACGGTAGTGGAACAAGTTCCGTAAAGACACTGAGTGCGAGTTTTGGCACAAAATGGCCTTACAAGCGTACGATGTCCGCACCCGCGTCGATGATACCTCGACAAGATACTAAGCAAGGTACGTACTCTAAATTTTCCCGTTTTTCTCTAGTCCTTATCCCTATCGCCTTTTCGCGCACATCACAAACTATATCGTACACTGTGTGTTACTTTTCTCCTTTTGTTTTCCGCATCTTTCACGCAGAAAAGGAAAAGGTGTACAGCCGACAGTATTCTGCGCCGATCTTGAAAAGGAAGAGCTCGAGATTCGGATTGGGTCAGTTGTTGGGGTCCACCCCGCCTAATAACAGTATTCCAGGTAGAGTAGCGTGTGTTGCCTGTGTAGCTGTAGACAAGACATAAATGTACGCGCAAATATGTTGCTCGTTTGTATTACACGGATGTTAATGCAATCAACTCCAGATGGATCGTTCGAATAGGTCGAACGGTAAGTAGCAAGTCGCAAAATTCGCAGAAATGCTTTAGTGATGTCTGTTATTAATGTATGTTTAAAGTGTAAAAATTGATGCTCTTGAAACCGTAAAGTAAATTGAGCAAGTTATGAAAGGACTTATAAATTGCTTTTAAATGCATGTTTTGCAACGTACAAATAATAACAAAGATTTAAAAATAGTATTATCCTTTTTTATCTCGTAAAATAGATTTGATTGGGCAGATTTTTTTAATTTATTGAAAGCAAGTCAAATTGTATACTTTATATATTATAATATAAAAAATAAAATTCTTCATTCTCGCAATACATAATCTCAAAATACAGCTTTGAATTAATAGTTTAGTTTTTCTTCGTGTATCGTTTTAATTAGTTTTTGAGATAATATGTGATGTGCATGCCTTTCTTTTGTTTAATGTAAATTTATAATTTACTTAGCATATATTTATAATTAATTCTTTGAATTGTAAAAAGTGACATAGATAGAAATATAGTTAACATTAATATTTTTACTTTGTAGATCTTAATTCTTCTTTTTTTGTTGAATCTTCTAACTATAGAACGTAATTAATATTGGAAAACTTTGCAGATGGTCACATACATTCATTGAACATGGTCGACGAAGCTAGTACGTTGCCAGGATATACTCATAAAATCGTGGATCTTGAAGAAGCAGATAAAGAAACTATGCATTTACTAGTCTTTCTCTTAATGCAATTTCTATCGAGACAGGATCAGGTAAATCATCAACCTATTAAATTTATCTTTGTAATACAAGAAAAAAGAGAGAAAACTTTCGATATAATACATAATGTGAAATATTTAAAAATTGCAAAACATTTTCTCGGTCTTATGCGTTCAATTTTATAAATTAATATCATTCAATCAGGCCTATCCGACGGATGAAAAACCAATGTCGAAAACGCAGGGTATAGTCTTGCGGCACTTATATCTTCTGTTGGGATACAATCAGACTGAGCGCACTTTCCATACCACTCCGCAACGTTTAAGGTGAGATTTTCGTAACATATTGTAATTAATACCTAAATTCTAAGCAGAATCGTAAAGCTCGTAACATATTCCTGTAAAACTTGTAAGAATTTTTAAATGCTTATACCTTTATACAATATTTTTATAGACAGCTTCTTACTAGCTATAAAATTTATAAGAAATCATAGATATTTACGAATAATCGTACGTCTTACGATATATACGCATAAACTTAGAATGTTATCATAAGTTCTTACAAGTTTTACGAGAACATGTTATGAGTCTTAGGATTCTGCTTAGAATTTGACTCATAAATTAATTATTATTACAAGTAAGCATTTGAACTATATTAATAATTTAACAGCTCTCAGATACAATGAAGATTGTAAAAAATATTGTGATCAATTAAATGAAACAATTTTCAGTTTTGTCAATGTTCGATTAAAATTATGTATCAAATTATGTATCAAAATTATGTATCAGAGATTTCTTACATTTTTGTTTTTTATTATTTTAATAAAATTTATAATAATAGAATCATTATAGGTTGTCGCCAGCGTTTAACGTCTTTATTGCTAATTTGCCACAACTATTAGACCAGAATCATGTAATGGGCTGGTTGATGACGCCATCAGTTTTGGCGATATTACAATATTGCCCTTGCCCTCCGCAATCTACACCTCCAACTGATCATCAACCACCGAACTACAGTCTTTGGTATTTAGAACCACACATCAGGCGATCTTGGTTGATGTCTTTACTTGTTATTTTATACAAGGTAAAAAGCTTCTATGAAAAATAATAAACATATTATGTACATATATAAATTAAAATTCCCAAAATGTGATTCCTTTTTAAGAAACCAGTATGATAAGCATAAAGTTATGTATCTTTGCATGTAACTATACAAGAATGTAAGAATTTTTGCGCGAATTGATTATTACAAAGTAATTCTCACATTAGTAATTATAAATCATTCTTTTAGTGTCAATATGGGCAACAGCCATGGTGTAATCAGCTTCAAGCATTAGTGAAGATAGTTTTGAATACGCTTAATACTCAGCATCATCAGTGTAGAAGAATACCAGCGACTATAGTTATGGGTGCACCGCCTTCGAGATCTCGTGGTAAGAATTCAAACAAGCCTAAAAGATCGTAGAGTAATTATAAAGCGATATATCCTTCAGATGTGTCTCAACCCTCGCTCGGAATAGAACATGAATTGACAACAAACACGATAGGAGAAATAGATACGGAAACTCCACCGATGCGTGCACCAATCTCGGTGCATCAACGCAGTCCTGGAGGAATGCACGGGCAAATGGAAACTCATTGGGAAGAGAATAATAGTCCAGCGTGTCGTTATTTCAACAAACATTTTACAAGGTCAATAAATTTATAGTCGTACTCTTGAAATAATTGACATTCTTGAATTGCACGAAGAATTGCAGAAAAAAATTATTAAGTTAAATTGAAGAATAGATGAAAATAATAAAGATGAAAATAATGTATATTTTATTTAATAGCAACTATTAGCATTTTTTCAGAAGAGATTACTTATTATATAATTTTTATACATACTTAGCGATCAATTACTTTACTGTTACAGTATTCTTTTTAGATAATATTTAATAGGCGTTAAATTAATATTTAATAAGCTTGTTAACGTTATTACACGCTTCTGTCTTTATTTACGTAAGTAATGACATGTTACAATTTGTCGCTATTGCGAATACTTTTGCAAAGTTATTCGATCAATGCGGATGATACGGAGTCCGAGCTGGCAGCGATTCCTGAGAGCCCAAAATCTGACAGCACCTTACATGGCAGTAGTGGAGGATCCCTTGGGGAATTAGAAGAAACAATTCCCAGAAATGCATCTCTTCAAGAACCACATATGTCGATTGTGTTGGATGGGACAGTTGAACCAAACAATCGAAATATTAATAAGCCAAAAGCAGAATCCGTGACGAAGCCTATATGGTTCTTAGGTGGAAATGAAGATGAAGTTAATCAAGTAATTTTTTTTATTATAAAATCTGCATAAAATAATTAGTGTATAATAGTAAAACGAACCAATTTTAAATAAAGTGAAAACATTCTCAAATTTTTACGGTAAAATACATAATAATTGAAATTTATTGAGCGAATTAAAAATATGTGATCACTTGCTGCAGGGAAATAAAAGCGGCTCTCAAAAGAAATGGAGCGTATATGAAGGAGTGAAAATGATGGTAACAAGCACATTTCTCACTGGACAACAAGAGCCTCCAAGATTTTTCCCTAAAACAGCTATGCCAACAAAAAATAGCAAAGGACATTTACCTTACAACGGAGACACATCGAAAACATACGATTTATCGAGTGCTTTAACACTTGCTACCAGCATATCTCATATTCAAAAGTAAGATTGGACATCTTTCCAACTATTATTCAATACAACTTTCTAATAATAATACACTAATAATAATACATATTTATTTTTAGTAATATTAAAAAGATACATTTATATTTCTTTTATTATAAACTTTTAGACCTGAATTACCAAAGATAAAGGATAAGGAGGTAGAAAAGAATAAGGGAAAGGAGAAAGAAAAGGAAAAGGAGAAAGAGAAAGAAACTGAAAAGGAAAAAGAGATGGAAGAAATGGAAGAGGAGAAACAAAAAGAAAAGGAGAAAGAAAAAGCGCTCGTTAAAACTGTTGGTATCAATAATATCGAGCCTCTGAACGCTAAACATTTAGGTAGACAGAAACACGTGGAACAGATCACAATTACAGCAACATCGCCGATTTCACCTTGCCAAGTAATTACAGTGACAAACAGCGATAATTCGAGTTCACCGGCATTGAGTTCTTCTATATCATCGCAAATCATAAGTACAGAGAATGGACAGCAAATAGGTGATCCTCCTATTGGTCTGCAACCGTTAATGACTACTCCGACCGTTGAACGATTGCTTCCCATCGGTACAATAGCTCGAGCGACTGGTAAGCAATTCGTATTATTATTTTATTAATTAATAATAAATAAAGTACACAATTTCTTATTAGGATCACGAACTGCGCAACGTGTATTAAGATGCGAAGATACATATGGCTCTCCAGAATCACCATTGTCAAAAATGGACATTTTGACAGTCAGTAAGTAAAATAATTTAAAGTGATAAAGAAATAGATATTTAACGCGAGCAAAATAAAATGGAAGGAAAGTTGTCTAATCTAAAAAAGATTGAAGTTGAGTGTAATTTTATAGGTTCCTCATTTGAACAAGACAGCGAAACTTGTATGTCCAGTGATATTACGAGTCCGCATAGCGTTTCCCAGCTGGAATTTCCAACGCCGGAACGATTATTGCCGGTTGGGCCTCAAAGAGATTTCCCCAGCTTAGTCGAGCGAGTACGTCAAGCTCTCGATATTTCAGATATCCAAGGTTTGTATGCACTAATCCTGGGTCTTAGTGATAAGCCGATAACAAATATTCACACGTGCATATAATGTTTTAATAAAAGTTGTCACGATCAAACTTCGAAATATTTCTCTTTTAGATACAAATAATAAGTTGAACGAAGATGTAAAACGTGACATCCATGGTATGACACTCATGAAACAGGATAGTGGAGCATCTGATAATGTGGTAAAAACATTTTTTTATTCTTTTAGAATCTCGCGTGGTTTACGAACACACAAAATAGATACTTACTTTTTAGGCAAAATAAATCTGTAAAAATAAAATATCTATTTATTATGCACAGTCAACATCACTCGTACCAACGTGCAATGAAATTAATTCGAGTAGATCGCCAAGTCCGAGAAGACTAATTAAACAGGTGGCTTTGGAATCGTCTCCTCCAGCGATCGATCCTGGAGATTTCGTTTTGAAAATAGCAGATCATGATCAGAAGATTAAGTCGAAGGATCAATTTCGAATTCAACGTGACAGAGCACGGAAGATCACCGCTATAACGGATCAAGATATGATTACTCACGCGAGACGAATGGAATCCTGGTAAATTTTTTATGTTATTAGTACTTTTATAACAAAACTTATGCGGATGATACATATTATAGATATCACATTTTAATTTGCGTATATTTGTCTCGATAGGTCTGGCCCACAAGTCCAACAAAATTTAGATTTTGTCTCTCAACAAGCGTACCATGCGGATTTTAATTTAAAGCAAAGTTTATTTCGCATTGGCGATGATTGCATTTACGATAGGTATAATTTAACATACTAAATGTTATTAAACCAAATTATTAACATCTCATTGAACTTGATTTGATAACATTACTACAGATGTTCGGAGTGCGGAACGATAAGAGAAGAATATTCTGATGAAGAACTTGGATTGTGTATAATAACTTTGGGAACGTTTATTCATCGAGAGCCATCCCTAGCGGCACCGTTATTACCGGAAATACTCGGTGTGGTTACCAAGTAAATATTATATTTTTAATATATTTTTAAGCTAATGAAATAAAGTACTAATGTATTGCTTGTGTATACTAGGGTTGCTCTTAATGCAATGTATCCCTGGCAAAGCGAAACAAATATGCATCTTCCAGGTGGTGCAGTCAGCGTAGCGCACCAATTTCTCAGATGTGTTCTTCATCAATTAGCACCTAATGGAGTATTTATGCAAATGTTTCAGACTCATTTAAATGGTAAGAATATTATATTGATAGACTAATAGAATTCAAATAATTTTCCTAATTCTGAAATTTTGAATATAAAGACTCGTCCACGACAAGACGTAAAGGCGCGGCACAAATTTAAGCAGATGCAAGAAGTCTGCGCCATGCTTTTCTATACGCAGGCGCAAAATAAGCTCATGACGCGTACGAATGTTTAAACATTGTTGTCGATACAAATAGGTGATGGAAAATAAACTGCTGTTTTTTTTATATCTACTAACAATGTTTTAATATACAGTTGTGTATTAGGATACACAAAGTTAATGAATGTACGAATATATATCACACGTTCTTCTGTGACAGATTTTTCCCTATCGATCCATTATTATATCACATTCCTCATTATTATCAGGAGATAATAATGAGATAGTGTCTCGATAATAATTTTCTTTATCCATGTTTTTAAGGATGAAGGACAAACCGCGTAATCACATATAACCGCGCCAGCAAAAACAGCTGGCGTAACGTGGGCGCAACCGTTGAAAATAAAATTAATTTATGTAATAAATTTCTTTCCGTTTTTTAAGGGTTTTATTTAGAGGGGATTATTAACGTTTCATAATGATTATTTTGAAAATCCGAAATTATCAGCGCGCAATCATTTGGAACAAAAAATTGATTAAATATATTCGTAATATCTAACTTTGACCGTTCGGCGTTCTTTACTTTATTCGATTTATTCATATATGGTCGTTTTTCTTATAATGTTTAATTTATTTTCGTTACGCCGTTATACCACGCCATTACGACCGGGAACAATTCTCTTAAGTCTGCGCTTGCGCTTTTACGCCTGTTATACCTTGTTGTGTAGACGAGTCTTAAGAGTGTATGCTGTAAAAAGTTTTCTGATAATTGTCACGTATATTTTACGAATACAGCTGTTGTCTAACATCAATTTCTCTGGAAAATTTCAAATAATAATAAGTTCTTTTATTGTTATCTATTGTTATACATTCTATTCTTTCAACTTGCAGAAACGACAAGGTTGCAATTTTTCAAAAGCGTTGCGCAAGCTTTAGTCGATTTTAATGAATTAAATCCAATCGCACCATTGCAATTGTTGCTTGAGGTAAGAAAGTAATTTAAATATTACGCGTGAGTAAATTCATTTTATTTTTGTAACTCGCTAAGTGTATTTTTTACGTTAGAATATATAAAAAAAATTTATTTTACCTTGTAAAATTCAATTTTTAGACGTTAAACATGAAAAAGTCGTTGCCACTAGAACGGCTACCAATTATATTATATAATATAGCATGTTACTTGGACTGTTTGCCATTGGAAGCAGGATTGGGTCCTGCTGCGGCTACATGGAGTGGATTATTGACACAATTTGATGGATTATTTCGAAGACTCGTTCTTATGCTTCCTTCCATCGAGGATATTACTCCTCTCTTACGAATTATGATTTCAATATTAAAAGTTCCAGGGATTCAACAATCGAAGGTATTTTAATCAGTAAAATTGCATAAGATTCTTCTTTCTTGTTTTCGAATTACTAATTAAAAGAAATATATAGTTTTTAAAGTAAGTAAAGTAATATGTAGTTTTTTTATTAATTTACTTAATTAAATTAGCATCTCAATTGTATCTCAATATTTTTTTAGGGAATGCTGGATCCATTCTCCAAAATATTAAGTTATGCTATACAAAACTCAACATTGCAATATAATTATTTAACGGACTTGTGCTATTTATGTCATAGAGGATTTACTCGTGATCGTGACAAACATTTTTTTGGAAGGACGATTGTATTCGAATTAATTCAGGCCATCAAATTTAAAATTACAATACCGGACTCCAACTTTTTATTATTGCTTCAATTTGTGCTCCAAGTAAATAATTGCATAATATTCATAATGTCAATTTTTTCAGTTTAAACTTCGGACATAATTTAATTAGTTTATAATTAAAAACTGATAAATTAAAAGGATATTAATAATAACGTGTAATGTAGGATATTGGAGGATCTTTGCCTAATAGTGTCGTTGCAATGGAAAATAATATTCAGACAGACATGTCGCCGATCTATAATACGAATGCCTCTGAATCTTTAAAGAATCAGTTATCGGATGTCCTCGAATTTTTAACTGATTTTCATACTTTAAGTAAAATCAAGGTAATACATCTAATACGCACACGTATGCTAAATCAATCGCTATTATAGTTAATAAGATTTTGCGAAATTTATTTTCCTCGTCACTTAAAGAACTTTTCCTTTCTCAGAGTTATAACAAAGGTATGCAAGCAGGATTAAACGAGGACACGATAGGCGGGATGTTAAAGTGTGGCCTTGCTCAATACGTAGCTTTAGAAATTACGAGAGGCAACAATAGAGAGAACAGAGCCGTAGCACGTTACTTACCATGGTTATACACCGTACCATCTATACAACAAGGGTAAGCTTGTTGTATTGTTTTTATCACTATTAATCATCTCTTTTATATTTTGTACCATTAATAAGATTTTATCTAATTAATGCAATTATAGAAGCTAATTAAATTTACGTGAACATTTTAGAGCTCGCGAATACGTCGATTGTATTGGCCACATCAGACTCTTATCCTGGCTGTTACTGGGATCACTTACGCATATAGCAATGTATACTGGCAACAATAACAGTCATTCTCATTCAACGGTACCGTTGGCGCAACCGATACCTCAAGAAGTATCTTGCCACATCGCAGATCACATACAAGTCATTTTCTCGGGGTTTCCTGAACAATCAAAAACCTCGGTCCTTCACATGTCCTCGCTCTTCCACGCGTTTATTCTTTGCCAAGTATTTATATCTTAGATTATAATATTTTTAATACAGGTTGTGAAATATTACACTTATATAAGTTCTACTGAATTTGCATTAACGTTTTGACTTTAGCTTTGGACAATGTATTTGGAAGAAATGTCTAAGAATAACGTAACAAACAGCGAGAGCCACAATGTTACCATGAATATCTTATTAGAATTTTGGGGAAAGATAACGCCATGCATTTTGCAACTCGTTTCATATTCGAAAGCTGTGAGTACAAAACATTATTCAATATTATTTAAGTTCTTCTTAAATTGACACATTCAAAATAAACTTGAAGCAACAACATGAAGAAACAATTTAATTTTTAGCTCTCTGAAATGCTTAACTTACATTTCTTAAGCTTGTTAGAGGCCTTATTAGAATGCGGATCAATCTTGTTGAGCAAATTACTACCTCTATGGAATGCTATATTATTTTCTCATCATGTTCAAGTAAGAATTGAAGATAAAATCGAACAATCGGAACAGAAAGATAAAGTATGGTGATAAATTGTTGGCTTGTTTCATTTTTTAGCTACCAGGACATTTACAAATGCGGTTGCAAAATTGCCGCGATTTTCCACCGAATAAAATGGCGGAAAATTTCGTTACTAATAGAAGAGAATCAAACGCGATACTTTTACGATGGTTACATCGTTTACAGTTTAAGATGGGCCAAATAGAAATGCAATCTTCTACCGCCACGCAATTCTATTCCATTTAAAAAAAGAAGAAATTTAAAAATGAGCTTTATGAAATTTTACTTTGTGGAATTGGAAAATTTCACATTGATCAATATATGTCGAAGATATAAAACATATACAAAAAAAAGTTGTTCTTATAATTACTTAAAAAATTATAATTACTATAAATAATTTTAATAAATCATTAAATTTAAATATAATATAGTGTTGAATTTTTCAAACATTTTTTATTTCCATAATCCAATTTTTAAATCACTCCCTCAAGTTTCTATATTTTATTGAAAATAACAGTAAATTGATGTGAGATCTGATTGAAAAATAATTTTTATTGAGCAATATTATTTTACTATGTCGAATACAAAGAAAATTTGAGTTGCAATATTTTTAAATTAACATGGATATATTTAGACGAAAAATAATTAAAAATGGTGCTTTAAAATTTATATTACAGCGTGTTTATGCGTTTGCAATACATAATTTAAGTACTATGTGCAAGGTTGTTATTTAATGATCGCGTAAGAAATTTCAAAGTTAACATTTCAAACTTTAAATTTCAATGTTTATACCGTTGTTGTTGTTGTCGTTGTTGCTAGTCCTTTTGGTTTAATCATCATCAATGCACGTTTTAGAGTATAATCCCAACCTCTCCAACGGAACCATACGATACCTTTAGTATAACAGCAAATTTTTATTTGTGAATATAAACTGAGAATTTAATTTTAATTTTTCCACAATTTATGTGGATATTTATTTTATTAATTAGAAGATTGAAATTTACCTTAATTTTAATATTTGCATTAGCGACTTATAAACATACCTTGTCGTGCAGTAACATCTTGTGGATCATTTATATAAAGACCATTTAAACCACGTCCGCAAGACTTCCACCACCAACCACCCTTGAGCATTGAAGCACAATTCAAGGATGATCTGTCATTATCTCTAAAAGCATAAATATATCTTTAAATCCAATAAGTTCTTATGGCATGTATGATTTCACATATAATTATGATAATATAAGAAGATATATTTTATTCATCGTATAATAAATATTCTATATTATTTATTATGTAAGATATATATATCTTACCTGTTGTACGTAGAAAATGGACTATTGTTTGATCCGTACCAAGGATCATTCAATGAATCTCCGGCATTTCCTTCATATCCATCTATCTCCAATTTATAATACTCTCCCTCTGAATAAATCTTAAAATGCGAATATTGCGCATACCTAATAAAATGAAATTATAATTATTGGGTTATCCGGAAAGTTCGTGCCGCAAAAGATTTAAATTTAATAAATGTATACTAAAATTTAAATCTTCTGCGTTTCAATTTTCCTTCAAAATCGGCACGAACTTTCCGGACAATCCAATATTCGATCGATTTCAATTTATATCTGCGCAATCTATTTCCAATACGGAAACTGTAAAGCTACATGTACATGTACATTATTAGTACCCTTTAACAATAGTAAAAAAGTTGCTAATTAATCTACAGTTTAGGCATATACCTTTTGTTACCTTCGAAGTCCTCAAGTTCAACTCTGAGCATGTAATCTTCATTATTTGTTAACATATATATGTTTTCATTGCCTAGCCAAAATTCTTTAGCAGGATCTCCAAATCCATTTTTATAATCTGCCCAATCTCTATTAAAATTCTCTCTTGGTTCTCCAAAATCATCTCTTCGTTGAATAACCTTTAAAAATTTATTGTAAATTGATTTACAACAAATATTTAAGATATGTATGTAAATGTGCTATTAATTAATCAATTATATGTCTTCTTATTATATGTCTTCTCTATACAAAATCACATCTGTGATCTTCATCTCATTTTTTTTACTTCATTTTTCGATAAGTGATGAAATTTAATAATTTTTATTTTATTATCGTCATTTAAACCGTATATATTTAATTTCGATAATAAACTCACCGTCCAGCCACCATCAGCAACTTCCTGTTCACAATAAACTTTAAGGAACCAATATGTCGTACCGCGTATTTGTAAATAGTATACCCCACTGTCTCTCATTCCTCCGTTTAATAAATCCACGCAAGAATAACCCTGAAATTATAAAATGCAAAAGATAATAAAAAAAATTAAAAATCGATACATATAATAATTATAAATATTATCAAAATTTTTTTCTTTTGCTTTCTGAAATAAGTCTCGCAAAGATATCTGATAAGAATCAAATAAAAATAAAAAAATATATTAAGATATTCTAAACAATAATTAATTCTAAACAATATTCTAAACAATAAAATATTCTAAACAAATATTCTAAACATTCTTGGCAATAATTTTTTATAAATCTTTTTGCTATGAGCTATAACATTGTTCGAGATGATCATGCTTTGTAAATAAAGAAAACTACACAAAATATTAAAATACCTTGATATCCTTATAATTAATTAATATGTCGCTTGTGAAAGTAGAATTTGCTAAACTCGGTTTATTTTTAACACTTGGAAATATCACTCCTCGATTTCTGCTATTTGGTCTCGCGGTACTCGAAGATGTAGTCATAGGTGTCGTGGAACTATAAGTAGGATTATTCGAGGGTGAAGCGACGGATGATATCGATGTTGTAGTTGATAAGGACGGTGAAGTAGTGGGTAGCGTAGATGTGGGCATCTCCGTTACAAAATCTTCGGCTACGCTGACGTATCTTGGAATAAAATATAAGACTTTATTTCGTGTTTGACTTATTAGATATTTCTTCTGTATTGTGGAAAATACTTTGAATTGGAGAAAGATTTCATTGAAGAACAATTATATTGTGCAATCGTCACTATTTCTTAAGTCAAACACTGTTGCAAATATGATAGTTATTACGTAATTCTCGATAATCATTTTGTAAATTATCTAATGTTTACCTGCTTGGATCATATTCAACGAGTCGATCGATTGTTGGATCTAATAATAATTCAGCCGCAATCGGACGTTGAGCGAGAGTGGCTACATCATCCTCTTGTTTCCTCAAGCGGCTTTCAACGCCTTCAAGGTTTTCGATAATTTTGTTTGTTTTTGATCTTAGATCAGCGTGAATTTCATTAATCGCTCTCTCTTGTCTTTGAGTCTGAGTAAGTAATTCATCGGATTTTGGCAGCAAATCGTCTACTGAACTTTTGGTTCCCATCTAATATTATTAAAATTAATATTATATTATTTTTTTATGTTATTATGCGCAAATTGATTGTAATATCAGTTCTCTAACAACATTAATGCACTCCCGAAAATAAAATGCTATTGTTAATTTCATATTTAACTAAAACTCACCACTACATTCCAAACTTGATCCATTTTTTCAGAAACGGTAAGCATCGGATACATTTGTTCTGCAAGACGATCGATCTTACTTTGTTTCGTCGGGGCTTCGGTTGTTGTTAAATTAAGACGATTATGCCGATTGTTCTCATTATTTTTCTCGACAATAGCTTCGTGCACGTCACTAATCATATTATACACCGCTCCGAGATTATCCGACACTAAATTCATATGGAATTGAAGCTTTCGATCCATATTACCTGTCGCTTGCTTAAGATTCTCAATCTCAAGCGTCATATGGTTCATCACTTCGTTACTCATAGCCTTGGTGATCTCGATGATGCTCATACTAACGGGTTTCTTTTCACTCGCCTCGGCATTTATATCATCATTTTGTAAAAAATTGTTATCGAGCTGATTCTTAAGATTGACAAGCTTATGATCAATATCGGAAACTTTCTGATCCAGAGAAACCAATTTTTCGCCGAGAGTTTCTGGCGCTTGATCGTTTTGATCATGATGAATCACACGTATCAATGGAACTGTAATATTTTAGTTACAATTTAATACAATTGATTGCAATACAATTTGATTTCAATTACATTATCTTCAATTTATTTGCACGAAGTGCAAAATAAAAGTGAAATATGTTATTTCTAAATAAGAAGCTTTTTTTTTATTTTGCTTTATTTTTTTAATAAGAAACTTGATTTATTTCCCTTGCATACACGCTATATATTAAGAAAAATATATATATATATATTTCTTAATAAATATTTTAAAACAGCCTGATACAATTTTTTTCTTTTTATGCGTCATAAGTGGAAAAAGAAATCGAGACCGATTAAACAACCAGATATAAAGTATAAACTTCGTGAAGATATGTATCACATACTTACTATCTTCTGTATGACTTCCGCTCTTACTTTCGGTAATCCTCGTTGCAACTTCCACGGGTATGCTAGGATACGCATTGAAAAGCTTCAAATCTAACGTCCTAAGTTTAGTAATGACGGCATCTGTTTTGTCAATGTTATCGTTTACACGAGAATCTAAAGCCTCTACTCTTCTCATCAAATGCTCCACTGCCTTATCTAAATTCTCGATTCGCTGTAACTTGGACTCCAAAGTTGATACTATTACTTCAAAGACGTTGAAAAGATATTGCTCTCTACAACAGATAATATTTATTGTCTTCGTCTAATTGTTACTTTTTTACTTCACATCATTGCTAATATCAGAATATATATACGACTGTCTACACACTCTCCAATAATAAAATAAATCGTTCAAATGTCTCTCTCTCTCTCTCT